TAATTTTATTGATACTTAATTTGGAAAACTTGTAATTTACGCCATCTATCGAAAAAATATTGAAGTACTACGACCACTTTCTACTTTCTTCGATATATTGAAGCATTGCGCCAGTGGCGCCGCCACCTCGCTATTGTGTGATGGTGGCGGAAGCATGTACTAATGCGTAGCCGGTACAATTTGCTTGTTTTCTCGTGCTGATGTTGGATTTTTTTTTTGTTAGGTTGGTAATTTCTATACAACTGCAAAAGCACTGCTTCTTCGTTATCCGACTAATTTAAGAAGTCAATAAAACGTAGCGTTTGTTGATTGAAAATAGATATATTAATTTTGGTCAACTTATTGTTTACGTTTTTTTTGGCCATTTTGTTTTGGTTATGTTTTTATGTGCAAGTGAATAAATTGTAATGTAATGAATTATAATTTAAATGAACTGTTAATTTACCGATAATTATGTAAAATTATAGCTGTGAGCTCTGTGCTGGTGATTTGTGTTGTTCAATAAATTAAATATGAGTGCATTGTCCTTATTGTCGTTCGAAGAAGAAACGAAAATATTTCCAAAGGCGATTTTGTGTGTGTCGTATGTCCGGGCTAGGCGTAACTCAAAAAAGGTAATAATTTTATTATTTCTTTTAATAAACTACGATTTGCGATTATACGTATAGTTTGTTAGTACTGGTTGTGTACCAATTTCATTATTGTTTTTAAAATCCAGTCATCTTGATCTCGCTTTGTACGATTTCTCTATGCATTTAACGGTCAGTTTATACTGGTGTCGCATAGCTTGATGTGTAGCCATTTGTACTTCGCCGCTCCAAAGTAGGTACCTAGTTAGATTTGTAAAATAGATACCTAGGTATCTATGTTGATCAACTTTATACACGGATAGTTTGAAAATAATTATGTACCTAATTTGTTTATACGAATGTGTATACAAATATGTTTATACAAATTAGGTAATAAAATACTTACTAAACCTAATTACCTACTCAAAATTATGATGTTTCGGGAGTTTTATTTTCCGAGATTAATGTAGACCAAATTTTTTTAAATCATGCCTTCTGCCTACCCTACTTCAAATCTCTGTGCACGCCCCTGATGGATGGTACCAATGTGACATTTTCCGAGTTAAGATTACAGTTGGATCAAAAATCATTAAAGGAGATGGCGGATTGATATTTCGTCAACTAGACATCTATGACAAGGATTGGCCGCAAAAAGCTTTACATAGAGAGGAGTGGAAGGAGGGTAGGGAGGCCTTTGCCCTGCAGTGGGACGATCATGGCTGAAATAAATAAATAAATAAATAAATAAGATTACAGTTACTTTCTATGATTATTAAGACAATATGGACCATGTCATGAAGAAAAACATCGTAAAAAAACCTGGGTTTTAAATTTCCAATTATAACTTTGAAATCGCCAACCTGCATTAGCAAACGAGATGTTTAATGCTTACATTACTTAAATGTTAAACGAAAATACTTGCTGAAACAACATAACGAATACGTTTGTTGCTGAACTTACTTTTTTGTTACGTTCTATCTATTTGAATTTTATGTCCAGCCACTTAGTTGTGACAAAGTAATGGTCAGCAAAAAAATTAACCGCTTTTTCTTAAAAAAATGGATATCTCTCGTTCTTTTGCTCACGATTCATCGTTACACAAAAAATAATGCAATACAATATGATAACAATAGGTGTGTGGGTCAATAGACACCTAAGTTGTTACATAAATACTTACTTTCACTGTATACTGAAAATTAGCAAAAAGTGAAAAGTTCTAGAAAATATTTTTAACGTTAGTTTTTCTGATCAAATTCTCTCAATATTATTTTTGGAATATGTGGCACCTATATACTTCATTATTATATTTAGAAATATATTTCTAAAATAACTATCAGGGGGTGATTAGTGATCGATACTAATGCCAAAAATGAAATCAGTGAAATTTTTGTCTGTCTGTTTGTCTATGTTCCGTATACAAACAAAAACTACTCGACGGTTTTTCACGAAACTTCGTATCGAAAAATATTATGCATACTCCTGGAGAGCTATATATAGTATACTTTCCATCACGCTACAATAAATAGGAGCATAATTGGTTTTGTTTTTTTTTATTAGGTACGTTCTGTTATTTGTATGATGCGTCAGGTATGTCTTTACATTATTCTCACATGTGTGTACAATATCGGAATATGTATCAGAGCAGTGTAAAACAGACTTTTTTTAAAAGAGTAACGAATGGAGTTTCTTGCTCGTTCTTCTCCACTCGAATCGACATTTTGGAACGAGGGCCTAGCTTCACTGACGGACAGACTGACAGACTATTATTTATTTCATATTTGTTGACGTTTCAAAAGTACCAAATTATGGTTTAATTGAAATAAATGCTTTTGAGTTTGAGTTTGAGCAGTGAAGAGAAATGTTGAGAAGGTTACGGGAGAAGTTACTCCAATTTTAAGCTTCCGTAGCGTTGTTTAAACCTATATAGAAATCTAATAAATTTTAGAAATTCTTACCAATATTACCACGTAGACACTTACATACTACGTAGCTGCGGCAACGCCCACGCAAAAGTGAATAAAAATGAGCAATCAAAATTATCAATGATTCTAAACACACAAATATCAGGGATGACGTATGTACAACTTCACGGAAACATAGAAGATAACATTTATAGCACCATTAATAAAATATCACCACTTCTTATTAACTAAAAAGAATGCGAAATTAGTGCGTAATACTGATTAGAACGTAGTTATTTTGTAAAACTAGCTATTGAACTAAATAGTCGAAGGTTCTAGCAACGATAAGTAATTTTACAAGGTGATTTGGTGTGCCACCCCTCAAGATTTGTGGGGAACAATTGTTGAGCAAATATCTTTAACTTTTCTGTGGTAGTCTAAGGGGTTATTTTACAGACACCGGGCAGCAGTGTCCTCTGATAAATCTAGTTTTTAATCTCTAATTTTCTGCGATTTTTATCAAATTTGCGATTTTGACAAAATCTCACTGCATAATCCAGCAATGGACTGTGATGGACCATCAGTTTATTCTGAATCACTCAAAAAATTTTACTAAGTTTAAATGAACAAGTAAATATTAGGTTAGTTTGAAAAATATTTGTGCGTGTAGACGTTCAAAAGCACCTTCTATGCACGGTGGGTCCGTGCGTCACCTTGCGTACACAAATATTTTTTTCTGGCATTGATAATGACGTCATTGCTTTTCCCCAAATTATTTTGTTTATTATTTCCTCCCGATAACAATTTATTGAAAACGTAATTCCGTAATGTAGGTAGTTATTATTTATAGACACAATTAAACGAATTTTATTTAACTCAATAAAATTTTACATTGCACTTGTAAATTTTTACAATACAATTGTTGTTACGTCATAAAGTGGTACCCTTTGTGCAGTTCTAGGACATGTCATTTATTTGTTCTTTATAACAATACTAGCTATCCAACGCAGTTTTACCTGTGTAATACAAATTCCCAAGAGCCGTAGAGACTTAAATATACAAGAGCTGGAATAAATTTTGAAGCCTGGATTATATTATACAGAGACAAACGCGTTTTATTTAAACTTAGTTTACTTACTGAACAAATGTTATTTATTTAAGCAACTTGGTTATACGCTGTATACCTATTTGACAAATATAGTTAGTGCGTAAACCGTGTACAATATGTATGTCAACAAAATCGCCCTTTGTTGATATTCTCGCCACATCTTTACACTCGCAGGAGAAAATGGAATTTCCAAAGAACAAGTCTGAAGTCACCGCACACGCAATAAATAAGTATGGTGAATAGCAATAGGTAATGCAGTTTGTAACAAATCTAAAGAAAAATACTGATTATAGGTATCACTAGAGCGAATTTAAAAATACTGCATAATTCGTGTTTTACCATAAAAATTAATTACAACCTTGATTATCGATGGGTAAATTACACACATTAGGGTATAAGGTTCTCAATAGATTGACAGATTTACTGCTGACTATAATTGATGAAATTTTTCATTTACCAATAATTCACAGAACACACAAAGCATCTTTATCATAATAAAAGTTTTTACTCTGAAAACGGAGTGATATCACGCCCTCACAAAAAACCGGCGTGAATCAACGTTTATGTTCTGTTTTGCTATATGACCGAGGTTACCGGAGCCTGGAGCCCCAATCTTCCACCCAAGTCTCTAAATCCCTGCCAGCCTCCCAAAGGGCTGCCAAAACAGTTGTACCTTCTGTGGTATTGTGTGATCATGTGATCTGATAAACATCAGTCATACTATACTATACTTTGAGACCTAGGCAGGTTAAACGCCGCGGAGAACCTAACGGGTTACCGGGCACCGACTCGAAGTGCAGGAGTAGGAACGGGGTGGTTTTTAGTAAGTAAGAGTCTGACACTCATTTCGCCGCACCCAGGCGGGAGAAGCAATTCGATGATTTCCCCCCTTAAAAAAAAGTCCATGGAGTATGACTACATAAGACAGCCATGTCATACCCTATCTATATGCTTGACAGGCGAACTGGAGACCACGGTTTAAAAGGTTCAGGTTTATTTGAGAGCGCTGCAGCCCAGTCCAAAAATGTTATTGTGTAGTTCCCTTATAATTTCGGGTCTTATTACAACCATGTGAAGAGACGGGGTAGTCAAAAAATTCTACTCTGTCGACAGCGATATTATTAGTGTTAGACTTTGTATCTAGTCTGGTAATCCCTGTCTGAAACCAATAATTAAAAAAAACGGACGTTCACCTTTTCAAAATCGGTTATTGATTTATTTACGTGAAAACATTTTTTGCCAACACAAAAGAATTAAAAGAAATCCTATTGCTAATCTTTACAGCTTTGATTGAACTTCAAAGAGCCGGTGGTTTATTGCGTTTTTATGATTAATAGTTTAGTATGTGCACTCAAAACTCCCTATCGTCAATACTGATAAGATTTCTCGATGATGACTTGGTGTCACCGTATATATTCAAGAAGGAAGGGCCGATTTTATCAGTTGATACACCGTGTTGAGACATTCATTCATAGTTACTGGAAAACTAATTTCAATAATTTAAATGTAAGTAGTTACAAATAGACAAAACTACACACAATAGCCATTTCTTCTTTCAATACATATCGAAAGATATACCCCACAAGTAGAAATATCTTTACCATTTCCAGGCCAGATAATAGTCAAAATAAATATAACTCTTAATCGAATCTTAAACGAATCTTAGTCTATAGTTGCCTACTATCTTTACTTCGACATGTACTTACACAATGCTATTTCCTTAGATGTTCTGGAGTGCAGTGATTGCGCTGTCATGTTTGGTGGCATACGCACATGGTCACGGCCGATTGGACGTACCAGCGAACAGAGCATCTCTCTGGCGTACTGGCTTGTTCTCTGACACACCACCTAACTACGATGACGACGGCCTCAACTGCGGCGGATTCCACCACCAGCATTCTGTTAATGGAGGACGGTGAGTCTTATTTATAAAAAATAATTACCTAACAACGAAAGTACTGGAAAAATATGTATGTAATGGAAAACGTGGACTCAAACCAATTTTTCTTTAGATGCGGTATTTGTGGTGATGCCTACGATAACGCGCAGCCCCGCGCCCATGAGTTAGGTGGAAAGTACGGCCAAGGACACATCGTCGCTACTTACGAACAGGGCGAAGTCATCAGCACCAAAGTCTATATCAGCGCTTACCATCAGGGATACTGGGAGTTCAGACTCTGCCTGGATCCTAGCGACCAAACACAGGAATGCTTCGCTAACTTCCTTCTGGAGTTAGAAGACGGGGGAACCAAATACTACCCGAAAGGAACTGGTTACTATGACGTGAACTACCGCCTGCCTTCGAATGTGGTCTGTGAGCACTGCGTGCTGCAGTGGAAGTACACGGCGGGCAACAACTGGGGCTTTTGTGGGGACGGCACGGGGGCCCTCGGCTGCGGGGACCAGGAGAACTTCTTCTCTTGCTCAGACATCAGTATTAAAGGCAGTGAAAGTATTCCTTTAGACGTACCAATTGTCAATTTAAACGGTGAGGTAAACCCCTAAATATTGGGAAAGCTGATGTGTAAGTGGTGATTTTAGTTTCATTATTAAGATGATATATATATTAAAACATCAAAGTCTCGAAACTGGAATCTTCAATTACTGATCAGTTTTCCGTGAGATCTCTTACAACGGTTGTGAAACATACAGTAAAGAATTTATTGTAATTTATTGATGCCATACATTATTGTAAGTTTTGTTATTAATTATATTTTTGGTTTTATTTATGTGATTGTTTTATACCAGTCAGTCATTATAAATAGGTTGAAATTAATGTAGCAAGCAGTCTGTTCTTTTACAGAAACCCAATAAAATGTGACCTTTCCTGTGGCCATTTCTGTTTCAAATATTGATACCTTTCCTTCCAACGAGGTAGTTACAATTTGGCATGACTTGAAAATCTTTCGACATCATTCGAACCTGAAAACACTAATATCATCATAAGTTACTTGTAATGTCTATAACTTTGTCTCTTATTGTAACTTTGACTTTGAATGCAATATTACATTTCAAATCTTAGTTCAGTTGTTTAATGAAGACAAAATGATAGATAACCTATTACTATTAATACTATTATAAGAATAGGGATGGTGACAGGGTATGAAAATTAAAAATCTAATTAGTCCGTCAGCTAAGTAAAGAAAAAATATTAGACACGTATTTTTTTATTTTGTCGTTTAAGAAAACAATACTTAGATAAAACGAATCAAAGTTCGAAGGACCTGTGTCATTTTAGAGAATAAATCGTACACAAAAGTGACGTCATGCGATATTTCAAATCAACTGTCGAAACCATTCATTTCCGTAAGAAAATAAAAAATACGTGTCTAATGTTTTTTTAATAATCTACCAGACAGACTTTAATAACAATAAAAATTAGTCATCTACCCTATTATTACTATAATTCTAAAAGATTCAAAGATATATATTTTTGTAGTGCTTATAACAAAGTTTAAAATACCTAAATAGGTACATTTTATACATACGATATACATAGTGGGGAATAATCACAATCGCAGCTGACCTGACTTTATATAGCCCATGAGTTGTAGGATTCAGTTGTAATCCAACTGTGCAGCATATATACCAACTATTTTTTTTAAACATCGACCTACACTAGCATTTTCTTCTGTATCGTGGGTGCGTTTACAAAGATACAAGTTCACATAATATACATAACACCGAGACCCGGAACATCAATTTGTGGATCACACAAAGAGATGTTCCGTGCGGGAATCCGGCGACACGTTGCGTGTCAACCGGTGGGCCCAGCCAACGCGCCAACAGTGCAGTCAATTATAGTTGAGCCAAGCTTTCAGCATATTTATTTAACACTAGCTTCTGCTTTTATTCTAGACCATAATGTGTCCCTGTGCCAAATTTTATCTCGATCCCTTCAGCCGTTTTGACGTGATTGAGTACCAAACATACAAAGAAACTTACAAACATTCGCATTTAAATTTAATAAGACTACAATGCTTAACTTGAAAATACTTTTTGTTCTGCCAAAGTAACAGATATAGAAGTAAAAAATAGTAATCTTGATTACGTCAATATTTGAAACTCAATATGGCCACTGTAAAAGTTCCTTCGCCACGTCCATTCTTACAATACAAACATTAAAAGATATTGTAATCTTCTATTAGTAAGTGTCTTATTAATTTTTAGATATCCTGAGAATGCTAATATTGACGAATCAGATACGGGACGTCCGACCGTCCTACAGCTACAGTTCATCGCGAAAGAAATATATGAACCGGCACAAACGGAAGAAACTAAACAAGAAGACGAAGCTAAAGGCAAAACGAGGGCATAAAAAGGTAAAAATACTTGTTTAATTCAATATCATGGTTAAATACTAACTAACGAGGCATTATAAATAAGACTTAATAATAATAGTTGCTGTAAAAAGTATTGTAGAGTCACGCTTCGGCATAAATGGGACGTCTCGACCGAAGTAATACCACAGACTTACAGAAAATTGGCGTAACATCATGCACAAAGAGTACATAAGGTGAACTTAATGCTGCAGGCATTTTCCCACAGACAAACCTTTGAGTGATGCAGAGTACTTAACGTCGTGTAATATTTCGGCGAGTAAGTGACGTTAAAGTTGGCCTATTTCTAACCCTCCCTGCCCAGGCTCCGCAATCTTCAAATCCCCTATCCTCACATCCCTAACTCCCAAAAGGCCGGTAACGCACTTATTTGTAACTACATGTAGCAACCTTGTAACTCATTTGGTATTTTACGCGACAACAACGGTCCACGAGCGGCGCCGATTGCATCGATCGATCAGGTGATGCGTCTGCTCGTTTGTCGACCTATACCATAAAGTCATACGCTAATTTTGGCGTTGAGCCCAGTATAGATCCCTGTGGCATCCCTTATTCGTTATTACGTTTCCCTTATTACGTATCGTGCCAACTGCCAAACACCAACAACTGCTACAATAACCTTATATAATCAATATAAATCATAGATTAATCCTCAATATCGAACATAACATAACATCACGCCTTTTATACCCAAAGGGGTAGGCAGAGGTGTGCGTTACGGCACTTAATGCAACTGTGCAATATAACACTCACTTTTCACTATTTATGTTCAGAGTCCCGAGTAATAGGGGGTGAGCCTATTGCCATATACAGGGCCCAATTCCAGAATCCGTGCTGCTACTGAGAATTACTTATAAACCCAGTAATACTTTACCCGGCCTCGAACCCGAGATTTGCGACCACTCGGCCAACGAGGTCAATATACAATTCATTATTAATTTGTATTTTATTCTTAATTTTTTCAGTTTACGTATCATCGGTAGCGACGGTAGCCAAAGGACCTGTCAAGATATGTGATTCCAAAGTATTCATTCTTAGAATTTCGTAGAGTATAAGATTTTTTTTTTAAATATTAGATCTGTGTACAGAGGTCAAGAACTTGTTCGTTTAAGAAGTTGTTCTGCCAAAACTAAATTGCTATAGATATTGTTATTCAAATAGTTGTTAGTAACTTAAGGATAAGACTAAGGAAAGAGACTTGTTAACATGTATAAGCAACAATGATCTGATAAAATCATCATGCTGCAATTTTGTTTGACTATTATCAATACAATTATAAAAAAAAGAAGAATGTGCTGCAGTGCTCGTCTTTATTTAAACGTTAAGTGTAAAAAACTTGTCAATTGAAATAAATAAGCTATTCAACATACGACACGTATTTTTTCTTTTCTTACAAAATTTAATACTTTCGACGATATATATATTACTCGCAGCCCGTCCCGGCTTCGCACGTGGTAGACAATTATATATTTTTTGAAATTTGGATTGTTGTAGTGACATACTTGGCCAACTATTGTAGTTATTAGCATATTATGCTACCGCGGAGATTTTGTAGACATTATGATGTTCTTCAATATTGTTGTACATTATTTTGTTCTATCGCTAATAGTTTCGGCAGTGCATTCGACGAAAGACATTTTAAGACTCATTTTTCTACACCTTCGGTTACATTGTTCAAAATTTAACAAGGATCCCTAATTTTTTTCAAAATGAAATGTAGCCTATGTCAAATTGGAATATTATAGCATTCTATTGGTGAAACAATTTTTTAAATCGGCCAGTACCTTTTGAGCCTATTTATTACAAACATACAAAAATAGGTACAAATCTTTCCTCTTTAAAATATTTGTATAGATTTGAAATATCGTGTGACGTCACAATCTAGTACATTTTATAGGGCAGCGTGACGTTTATCTAAGTATCGTTTTCTTATACGACAAAATAAAAAATATGTGTCTAATATTTTCTCATTATGACAACACGGTTAGTATCGCGGGTTCGATTCCCGAACGGAGCAACTCTTTGTGTGATCCACAAATTGTTGTCTGGGTGTCATGTGTATGTCAACTTGTATGTTTATAAAAGCACCCACAACACAATGGAAAATCCTATAGTGTGGGGCAAAGTTTTTGAAAAAAGAAAAATAATTATCTGACGGACTTATTACATTTTTAGTTTTCATACACTGACTACTACCCTATTAATATATTACTAACACTGACGAACGCATCATATTCTGTACACGTATTGCAGTCCCACAACATGCTTTACGTTGATAGAATATCACCTCTAGGACCTAACCTTTGATTTTATAATGGACCTGACACGTACAGACACCCTGAAATCTATTTCGTTTTCGTCCTGAAGTAAAATGGTTATATCTCGGTAATATAATAGTTTTACAAAGAAATAAAATGTTTAAAACAAATAGAGAACCTAACGGGTTACCGGGGCTCCGGCTCGACGTGCAGGAGAAGGAACGGGGTGGTTTTTAGTCAGTAAGATTCTGACACTCCCTCCCGCCTCACCCAGGCGGGAGCAGACATTCGATGATTTTCCCCCTTAAAAAAAACCATTACAAAAAGTAAACCTCGAATTCGAAAGCGCATAATTATGAACTCATAGGCATCTCGCCATGTAATTCTCGAAGAGGTAATTCTCGAAGAGGTATTTCTCGCCGTGTGGCACGTGCGATGCGAATATTGCCTACAAGAGGTATTTTTTTTAAGGGGGGAAAATCATCGAATGGCTGCTCCCGCCTGGGTGAGGCGGGAGGGAGTGTCAGACCTACAAGAGGTCTAGGGATTCATGTTCGTATTTACCTTTATTACACTAAAAAAAAAAACTTTTTTTTATTTTTTGTTTTTATTTTATGCATCGGAAGTACTTACAAAGTTAATTTGCCACGAGACGAAAACGAAATAGATTTCATGATGTACACACAACACATACATATTACAGCAGATAACATACATAACTACTCTATGTCCAGATCTTTTTAAGCTCCTCGGAGACCCATTGACCCATATCCTTAAAGATATGACGCGCTCAAGTGGAATTCTGCAAAGTTTCAGTTATCTATGGTGGATATTTTTTAATGTAAGTAATGTTCGGTGTCTGACCGCTATCTCGCCTGGAGGTAGGCGATGATGCAGCCAACGATGAAGCACGCCTGCCCTTAAGCGACCTATTCGCTCCGGCCTTGAAGACACCCAAATATTAGAATAAGCACTCAAAATTCCATATCGTCGATACCATCGCAGTTGTCTACTGATAAGATATCCCGGTGATGACTTAGTGCCACCGTATAAATTCAAGAAGAGGGGAACAAGCAGCCAGTTGGTGTACTGAACTGCGACATTCATTCAGTTATTTACAAAATAATAACAATCATTCAAACGTAAGTACCTTTTTATTTAGGTATAATAACAAAAAAAAAATATAAAAGAAACACTTTAATAGAAAGCTTTTATTACGTTTGTTCGTAAAAATAAATAATTTATAAAAATATATATATATCTATACTTATTAAAGAATAATTTCGACTAGAAGTCTACGGCAAGTATCAATGTGACTTTTTCCGAGTTTTATGTACTTTCTAAGATTATTTAGACACCACTGACAAACGGGAAAAGTAAACATTGTAAGAAAACCAGGGCTTATAATTTCTAATTATAAGTTTGTAATTGCCAACCTGCATTGAGCAAGCGTGGTGATTAATGCTCAAACCTTCCCCGTGTGAGAAGAGGCCTTTGTTCAGCAGTGGCCACTTGCTGTTGATGTTATTAAAGAGTAATAAAAGCTGGTTCTTACAAAGTGATTTCTTTTAATTTTACTTTTAAAGTGTTCGTTCACTTTTGTTCCCACAAATATAGGACAAAATCGATCCATCATTAGTACTTGGTTACCATTTGGCACTAAATTATCTACTCGTCAAGACGAATGACACGAGCCCATACTCTGTAAAGTTCTCCGGGCACCGCAAGCACGAGCTTGCGGACGGCGAGCACGGGTGACTAGCTGCCTGACCAGAACCAGGCCCGAGCGTACAGCGCGTCGCGGTCCGCGCGCGCCTCAAGGATCCATCAGATCGCCACAGATGGGGCCCAACAGGGCTGATGCCAATACGGAGCCGCGGAAGACTTAACGGGTTGCCGGGGCTCCGCGCAGGAGTAGGAACGGGGTGGATTTTAGTCAGTAAGAGTCTGACACTCCCTCTCGCCTCACCCAGGCAAGAGAAGTCATTGGTTAATTTCCCCCCCTTAAAACAAAATACTCTGTAAAGTGACTTATTCAATTTATTTACTTGGTGAATTTTTGATGTCGTCATTTCACCTTTTTTGAGGGGAAAAATTCAATGCCTCCCCCACCCTCCTCCTTCGCCTTAGGTGAGGCGAGAGGGGGCGTCAGACTCTTACTGGCTAAAAACTAGCAGGTAGAATCCCCGTTCTAACTCTTGCGTCGAGACACATCCCCAGTAACCTGAAAATTCGTTCACAGCCCCGATCGGCCATTAGCCCTACTAGGCCCAATCTGTGATAGTCTGATGACTCTTTGAGCGTGCACGGAACACAACGCGGTTTACCTACATACTTCCTTATTTTACCTGGAAATTATTCACCCAAGTGACATCACCCCCATGAATTTGACTTGAACTTTGTTCTCCTGGAAATTTATTTACCCAGGTGTACCAAAGTGACATGTCAAATAGGCAACTATAGCGAATTTAAAAAAATTGTCCAATTGTGCGCAAATAGTGGCTGACCCTTTACACATTACAAGAAATTGATTAAAATGTAATGAAATGTTGTCACTTCGCGTTTCGCTTCGTGTTATAGGTAACTCGTGATACACGAAACGAAGCAGGAACCGACCGGTTAGTACTTAATTGGCATGTTTTGTATGTCCTTATTAGAGTACGTGATTGATGTTAGGTAGTGCCTTAAATATCACATATCTAATCTTATGGAAGTATCCCGCACGGGCCAATTGTATTTCACTGTGCGGACAGGGTTTTACTCTCAATGCGAATTTTTATCGCCTGTGCGGATACTTCCAACTTAAGATTCAATGTATTGTATGAAATAAAATTCACGAGAATTTCAACTCGCTGTACGGACAGGATATCTTTGATAACAAAATGAAGAGATTACTTACATTTACATGTAAACAATGCCACATATTTTTGTTTGACGTTGTACTTACTGTATACCAATAAAATTTAATATACATTTATCTAAATGGGTCTAACATCAGATTATGATCTAGTTATACCAATTTTAATTAGTATAAGATATACCTATTTACTCCGAGATCTAAGATAACGATCAAAAGTGATAACAATCTTAATGTTTACTTTACATAAAGAGACTAAATGTGTCTTGTAGTACATACCTTGTGAGCAATTCTTAGTTTCCTAATTTTAATTGCCTGCTGTCATTACTTAGACATGTACACGTATAATGTGTTTTTCACTAGATGTTCTGGCATGCAGTGATTGCTCTGTCGTGTTTACTGGCGTACGCACACGGTCATGGCCGATTGATGGAACCAGTGGGCAGAGGATCTCTTTGGCGTACTGGCTTGTTCCGTGATACACCACCCAACTATGACGATAATGGCCTCAACTGCGGCGGTTTCCACCAGCAGCATTTTAGAAATAGAGGACGGTGAGTCTTATGAAAAAAGAATAACTAATTATTACACCCTAAGAAACACAAATGAGGAAAATTCTATAGTTATAGTAGTTATATTCTATAGTTTCACTATCAAGTGAAAGTAATCTTCCAATTCGGGTTCCTCTAGATGCGGCATCTGTGGTGACGACTACAACAGCGCGCAGCCTCGCGCTCATGAGTTAGGCGGAACGTACGGCCAAGGACACATCGTCGCTACTTACGAACAGGGCGAAGTCATCAGCACCAAAGTCCACATCAGTGCTTTCCATATGGGATACTGGGAGTTTAGACTCTGCCTGGATCCTAGCGACCAGACACAGGAATGCTTCGCTAACTTCCTTCTGGAGTTAGAAGACGGGGGAACCAAATACTACCCGAAAAGAGGTGGTTTCTATGAAGTGAACTACCGCCTGCCTTCGAATGTGGTCTGTGAGCACTGCGTGCTGCAGTGGAAGTACACGGCGGGCAACAACTGGGGCGTCTGTGCGGACGGCACGGGGGCCCTCGGCTGCGGCAACCAGGAGAACTTCTTCTCTTGTTCAGATATCACTATTAAGCGCAGTGAAAATATTCCTTTAGACGTACCAATTATAAATTTGAATGGTGAGGGAAACTCCTAAATGTGGAGAGAAACTGATGTGTAAGTGCTGAGTTTAGTTTCACTATAAGATTACCTATTTAAAAAGAACTAGACTAGAAATTAAAATCTAGAGGTACAATCACAGATACCAATGGAGTAGTCCATTGGAACCATGTGAAAAATACAAAGAATCTAATAAAATCTTTGACGCTTGCCGTTTCATTTACGTAACTGTTTTACAGAAGATTGGCGATTTTAGCGTTTCAGGTGGCCATTTGTGTTCCCTGCTTGTGTAAGATTGCTGTCCTGCCCACTGCTATTGCAGTAACTAATAAAAAATACTTTACTCTCCATTGTTGAAAATTTCAGAAATAGATAAGGGTTAAGAAGGTATTCCATAAATGTCATCAGGTTACATTTATGGAAGACCAGTGCTACATAAAATTTCTCATGCTACCATCGTACCATCGAAAGAGAGAGAAATAGGGAGTGAGAAGTAGTAGTAGATAGTAAGGAGGTTTTTTTTTATTGCAAAAGCCGATAAACGAGCTGACGGATCACCTGATGGTAAGCAATCGGCGTCGCCCATGGACACCTGGAACACCAGAGGCGTTACAAGTGCGTTACCGGCCTTTTGGGGATTAAGACTTTGAGGATCGTTGGGGATTCAGGGATTGGGGAGATTGGGAAAGGGGAGAGTAATTGGGCCTCCGGTAACCTCACTCACACGACGAAACACAACGCAAGCGTTGCTTCACGTCGGTTTTCTGTGACTTGAAGGTGATGAATTATAATCTTACCTTTTGGGATTGTTTTTGACGTGAAAATATTACTACTGATAAATACGACGGTGCAGATTGTACATACATACATAGTGCGGTGTTCCCCAGGGCTCTGTATTGGGACCTTCTGAAACTCACAAGACTAGGTGTTGAGTAGAAAGTTTTTACCAACACCCTACCATGGGACATTTTAAATACTCCACGTGTTTTTATTTAACCTAAAAATTACTTTAGCACACTTTTAATCATTTTAACCCTTTGTTCGGTAGTCACACTTGGGGTGACTCGACTTGCAGGATAATTCTAGAATTTTTGGATTTACCAAATCATCTCAAAAATGATAATGACCAGGACTGCGCGTTATCGTAGTCATCCTCGCAGGGAGAAATTATTTCAAAAACATTTATTTGATATGATAGTATTTTTGTATAACTTACCGAAGAATCTGCCGCAGCTGAGTCCGTATATCGTTTGGAGGTACGTCAGAGATCCAACAAATATACCAAATAGAGGCAGCTCAGTTCGATGGTTCCACCAATTGGCAATGAACATGTGCAATCACTGCACCCCAGAACATCTAGGGAAAGAATGAAAGAACATAATATCTGACGCAACAAAGATATCAGGCAATTCGTGAACTACACAAACTAGGAAGTATAAGATTCGTTGACAAGATCTCTAGTTGACATTAGTCTCTATATGTAAAGTAAAAATGAAGATTATTATCAATTTTGATCATTAACTTGTGGCATTGATTATGACATTAATGTAATAAATAATTACATGAAACTACTTAGTCCGCCCACGGCTTTGCTCGCGTAGTCAGTCATAATAAATTATGAAACATTCTCAGGAGTCACACTAACTATGTATCTGTTGTATACATGTACTATGTGTGTAATAAGTATAGTTAATATATAACATAACATAACATCACGCCTTTTATTCCCGAAGGCAGGCAGAGGTGCACATTATGCCACAGTACAATGTAACACTCATTGTAACTTTCACTATTTATGTTTTGAGTCCCATGTAATAGGGGGTGAGCCTATTGCCATATACCGGGCACAATTCCAGACTCCGTGCTATTACTGAGATTTTTTTTAAAACCTAGTAATACATTGCCCGACCCGGGAATCGAATCCGAGACCCCTTGCCCGGCAGTCGCACTTGCGACCACTCGGCCAACGAGGCAGTCTAGTTAATGTTTCATGATAAGTGTGAATGGTAAGTGCCAGTCACATCGTATTACAGATCTAATTCTGTGCAGGCACTACAAGACATAAACATAAACCCCACACGAAGATCCCCGAGCGTACGGCGCGTCGCGTTCCGCACCCCAAAGAGTCATCTGACCACCACAGATGAGGTTGATACCGATACGGAGCCGCAGAGGACTTAACGGGTTGTCGGTTGCGTTATTTTTTCCAGAATATTAAAAAGTGCGATCTGTATTGAAATGAAGAAAAATAAAATAATTAGTTTGTTAGTCTGTGTTCCCCCTTAAAAAAGTGTTTATATATTATGCATGTAACTAATAATTTAGAACTTGTATGCACTTTGTATCATGATTCTGATAAGATTTCCCGATGATAACCTGGTGTCGCCGTATATATTCACTACTGAAAGGACAATACAGTACCTATCAAGTATCAAGTCAGTTGGCATTAGTGCTGCAACATTCATTCATTTTATCGAGCACCTCATTCCACAAATTGTAATGTAAGTGCTTACAGATTTAAAAATAAATTAATATATAATAATAAAATGAATTGATTTAAAATTTATAAGACTCGACTGTAAAAATACTAAAAAAAAAGAAGCATAGTAAGTAATTTTATTAAAACAAGTTAACAATCGGGACCCATAAAGACGAGAATATTGGAGTCAAAAATAATAATGGATAAACAGCCGATCTGTTACAGTCTTACAGTGGTTTTAGTTCAGTTATGTCTATGCTTCTGAACCTTGACTGACTTTACAGTAGGGTTTTATAATTAAAGTTAACAGGTTTTAACCGACTTCAAAAAAGAAAGAGGTTCTCTGTTTGACCTGTATGTATGTTGGTGCGCAATTATCTCGTAATTCGCTATACCGATTTTGATGTGGTTTCCAGAAAAGTTTTTATTATCTACACTTAGAAAAGGTTTAAGTACCTATATCAAACCTCATTCATTTTCAGTCAGGACAATATGTATAACGATAGACACTGCAAGATAATTATCTAAATTCTTTATTTTTATGTTTACGACATATTATGTCGAAGTACATATAATATTGTTAAAATTATATTCTTTCTCTAGATGTTCCGGAGTGCAGTGATTGTGCTGTCCTGTTTGCTGGTGTACGCACATGGTCATGGTCGGGTGGCGGATCCAGTGGGCAGAGCCTCTCTCTGGCGTACTGGCTTATACCCTGACGCCCGACCCAACTACGATGATGACGGCCTCAATTGCGGCGGATTCTACCACCAGTATCATGTTAATGGAGGACGGTGAGTCTTATAAAAAAAATTACTTAACAGCAAAAAATGTTTATATAATGATGAACGTGGTCTCCTTATTTTTTCTAGATGCGGTATTTGTGGTGATGCCTACGATAACGCGCAGCCCCGTGCTCACGAGTTAGGTGGGAGGTACGGCCTAGGACACATCGTCGCTACTTACGAACAGGGCGAAGTCATCAGCACCAAAGTCTATATCACCGCTTACTCTATGGGATACTGGGAGTTCAGACTATGCCTGGATCCTAGCGACCAAACACAGGAATGCTTCTCTAACTTCCTTTTGGAGTTAGAAGACGGGGGAACTAAATACTACCCGAAAGGAAGAGGTTTTTATGACGTGAACTACCGCCTGCCTTCGAATGTGGTGTGTGAGCACTGCGTGCTGCAGTGGAAGTACACGGCGGGCAACAACTGGGGCGTCTGTGCGGACGGCTCGGGGGCCCTCGGCTGCGGCAACCAGGAGAACTTCTTCTCTTGCTCAGATATCACTATTAAGCGCAGTGAAAGTATTCCTTTAGACGTACCAATTGTCAATTTTTTGAACGGTGAGGGACACTTCTAATTATATCGAAAAACTTATGTATCAATGCTGAGTTTAGTTTCACTCTGAGATACCTAACCTATTCAGAAATAACTACACTAAAAACTAAAATCTACAATTCTGTAACAGAACATTCCGTTAACCATGTGAAAAATACGAAGAACTCAATAAAATACTTGATACCACACTTTGTAAGTTTTATTATAAATTATAGTTCGTTTCATTTATACGATTGTTTTATAGAAAGAAACAAGAAGGAAAGAAAAACCATTTATTCAGCACCAGGCACGACGCAGCATAAATAAAATATAAAAAGACAATAAAGGTGTGACAGGGGAAGTAATAAAAACATTGAGTTGAAAAATTAAAACAGAAGAATTAAAAGAGAGACGCTCACAACATGCCTATGCTAAAAGGGTCACCCACTCAGTATAAGCCAGGCATACAAGTTACCCAGCACTGATTTTCAGTGGGCTCCCATATAGAAGGTTATGTACCTTGGCCAGGTGGCCATTTGTGTCGAAGCGTTTGCTAAAGACGGCAAACGCCCTCTCATGGCTTATGCCAAATTTGGGAGGGCCCAGTGCGCGATGCCGGCGTCTATATGCCGGCATACTACGGAGCATGGCCCTTTATGGGGCTCCAGTTTGGGCGGACTCCCTGCGCAGGAGGGAGAACGCCACCGCCCTTCGCGTGCCCCAAAGGGCTATCGCTCAAAGGGTGGCGCGGGCTTACCGCACGGTGGGCTATGCGGCGGCGTGCGCACTGGCGGGCACTCCTCCTTGGGAGCTCGAAGCGTGGGTGCTCGCCAGAGTGTATGAGTGGACGGTGGACCGGAGGGCGCGAGGAGAGCGCCCGACTCATGAGGTCCGGGAAGCAGTGCGGCAGGGGAGGCCAAGGAGGCCATCGTCCTACATTGGGCGGACGAACTCGCTGCCGCCGTCTTTGGCCGACGGACGCTGGACGCCATCGGGCCGGTCCTCCAGACCTGGCTCGAGCGGCCGTTTGGCTTTCTCTCCTTCCGTCTGGTGCAGGTGATGACAGGTCATGGTTGTTTTGGGTCGTACCTGCACCGCATCGGGCGGGAGGAGAACCCGTCGTGCCACCATTGTGGTGCGACAGAGGACACGGTGCGGCACACACTCGAAGAGTGCCCATCGTGGTCCGAACCGCGCCAGACCCTGGTCGCGGTTATTGGAAGAGACCTCTCACTTCCCTGCGTAGTACGCGCAATGTTGGGGAGCGAAGAAGCATGGGCGGCGGTCGCCTCCTTCTGCGAATGCGTTATATCGCAGAAGGAGGCGGCAGAGCGCGAGCGAGAGGAAGACGCCCTCGCTCCAGCGCTCCGACGAAGAAGAGTCGGTAGGAGAAGACGGCAATATAACCGCCTTCTCCCTCCCGGGGGTGAGTAGCGGGTGCTAGGCGCGGGGGCGCCTACATCCGCATTGCACTACTCACCTTTCGCGGGACGGGAGCGGTTGGCACACGACCGTTCCCGAGACCCCTCCCCGAGACAGGGAGGGGCGTGATATGGCCCGCCATCTCTGGCAGGCTTAGCCGAGGGGGTCCTGGTCGTAAAGGTTCATCCGGTCTCCCAGACCCCCTCACATGGCGACGCTGGTGTGCTCCTGGGTTTTTAGTGGGTATGCCGGGCTTCTCCCGGAGAGTCCCACATATCCCTCCCGTCCCCCCACGGGAGGATGATACATAAAGTATTTTCCCTGGGTCAAAAAAAAAAAAAAAAAGAGGTGGCCATTTGTGTTCTACGGATGTACAAAATTTTACAGTCCGGCCCTTTGCTAATCACAGTAACTAATAAAAAGTACCTACCGTTCCTGTCGAAAATGTCACAATTAAGGAATAAGTTATATACATATAACAGGATCAATTTATGTGAGATCAGTGCTACATTAAACTATGGAAGAAAGAGAAAGGGAAACTATGATTTACATTTGATAATATTTTAAGTAATTCGCTTATTGTGACACACATTTTTTCATTCATTAAAACACTACAAAAAGCACAAAATAGTAAGTCGTTAAATGCACACACACACAATGCACATAGGACATAATACTGTAGCATTTTATTGTCAACGTAACTGCAAAATTCTCTGTCGGAATAAGTTATATCAACTTGAAGTAATATAAGTTATCAATGTTATAATATTACCTACCATTTGGAATTATTTTTGTCATCATTAAACCTATAAATACTACCATTGTAATGGCAGGAGACAGATAGATAAATATAATGATAGTCATTGTACATAGTGCAGGGTTGCCCAGGGTTCGGTATTGGGACCTTGAGAAATATTCGAGACTGGGTGCTGAGGAAAGAACTTCTTCCTGAAGTCTACCCACACCCTGCCATGGGACATCTTCTCGTTTACATGTTTTTATTTAAGCCTAAAATGTTTTATAGATTGTAGATAAAGATATATATTTTTAGGATTAACCGTATCATCTCAATAATCATGCTGCGACGTGTCATTAAAACCAAACCTGACACCTTACCAATGAAGACAGGACCGCGCGCTATCGTACTGTTTTTAATATTTCTATGTATGCCCCCTGTGCATCTAAGGAGAACTGAATTTGAACCCGTCTCCACCAAAAAAATATTTTTTCTCAATATTTGCGTTCGTTATGTTAGTATTTTATAAAATATGTTTTTATAAAACTTACCTTAGAATCCGCCGCAGCTGATGCTGAATATAGTTGGGTGGGACATCGGATAACAAACCAAAGTGCCAAAGAGAGGCTCTGTTCGGTGATTCCACCAATCGGCAATGAACATTTGCACGCCAGAATATCTAGAGAAAGAATGAAAGAACAAATCTGTCGGGGTAAAGATATCAGGTAACTCATTGAACTACACAAAGTAGGAAATATAAGATTCATTGACAAGCTAAGTACATTAGTCTCTATATGTAAAGTAAAAATGAAGATTATTATCAATTTTGATCATTAACTTGCAACATGTTACATTTATTTAATAATTACATGAAACTAGTCGGCCCACGGCTTGGCTCGCGTGGTCAGTCATAGTAAATTATGAAACATTTTTAGGAGTCACACTATGTGACTAGACCTAAAGTCCTATGTCCTCAAGATCACCCAGGCGGGAGCAGTCATTCGATGATTTTCCCCCCTTAAAGAAAAAAAAAAGTCCTCAAGATGGGGTAGAGGGCGTCCACAAAGGTCCTCCAACTAAATCATTCTTGAGCTTCTCGGTTCAGGTCGCTCCACGTCATTCCGATGTTCACCGCTTCTGCTATCACTGTACGACGCCAGGTTTGCCGAGGACGGCCACGCTTTCTTTTCCCCTGGGGATTCCATGTCATGTGCATAATAAGTATAGTTTAATGTTTGATAATGGTAAGTCTGTATAGTATTACTAGTAACGCCGTACTGGCACTATTATACAGGTATACTGTTTTATTTCTTTTATAAACGTGACCCCACACAAACGCATATGTAGGTAAATCCAGAATATTTAAAAGTACAATCTGTTCTGAAATAAATAAAAGAATATAACTTTTATCTTTGTCTGTTTATATAGGTTACTAGCCACTTCAGGGTTCACTTCGGTTTCACTTGCTCTACTCGGCGCCTATTAATCGTAGCGTGATATTTTATAGCCTATAGCCTTCCTCGATAAATGGGCTATCCAACACAGAAATAATTTTTCAAATCGGACCAGTAATTTCGGAGATTAGCGCGTTCAAACAAACAAACAAAAAAACAAATTCTTCAGCTTTATAATATTATGTAGTATAGATTATAATTATATTAATACATATTAATTATCTGTTTATAATCTGTTTCCATGAATATTAATAAAGTATAATATAATAACATACAGTAAATTATAATTTAGGACATGCATTTTGTATGTACAGATATGATGATACTGATATTTCCCGATGATAACCTGGTGTCATCGTATATATTCATCAAGCAAAGGACAATACAGTACCTATCAAGTATCAAGTCAGTTGGTAAATAGTGCTGCAACATTCATTCATTTTATCGAGCACCTCATAACAATAATTCTAATGTAAGTACTTAGGTACAGATTTGAAGATACCTATAATAAAAAAGACAATAATTTCTTCATCTAATGTCGTCACACGTTGCTTAAGTTAACTGCGGTACAATAATATCTTAAACAACTTTGTGAAGTGTAAAATAAAGAAATTATTAGCAGCATTTATGGTGTCATTTCCCAAAGGGCTCCCGTAACCCATCCTAACAAATTTTGAAAATGAAGTTTTCGAACATTATTCCATGAAATCGGAAAATAGCTAGCCTTTTGGTGAGGTGGTGGCTTACTTACTGACACCAGGAATGTTGGGGATGTATGCAGGAGCGGCGGCAGCTGATAGTACCTAAAGGTACTAAGTTTTTACCATTTCCAATCACATAATTTGTATACTTATGGTCTTTCTTTAGATGTTCCGGAGTGCAGTAATTGCGCTGTCTTGTTTGCTGGCGTACGCACATGGTCATGGCCGGGTAGTGGATCCAGTGGGCAGAGCCTCTCTCTGGCGTACTGGCTTGTTCTCTGACGCTCGACCCAACTATAATGATAACGGCCTCAACTGCGGCGGACTGCACCACATGCATTTTCGTACTGGAGGAAAGTAAGTCTTATAAAAAGTATCATCTAAGAAACACAAGTATGTACTAGAAAACATATTTATATTATGGTGAACGTGGTCTCTTTATCTCCAGATGCGGTATTTGTGGTGATGCCTACGATAGGCCGCAGCCCCGCGCCCATGAGTTAGGCGGAACGTACGGCCAAGGACACATCGTCGCTACTTACGAACAGGGCGAAGTCATTAGCACCAAAGTGTACATTAGCGCTAACAAACTGGGATACTGGGAGTTCAGACTCTGCCTGGATCCCCGCAACCAAACACAGGAATGCTTCGCTAACATTCTTCTGGAGTTAGAAGAAGGGGGAACCAAATACTACCCGAAAGGAAATGGTTTATTTGACTTGAACTACCGCCTGCCTTCGGATGTGGTCTGTGAGCACTGCGTGCTGCAGTGGAAGTACACAGCAGGCAACAACTGGGGCACCTGTGCAAATGGCACGGGGGCCCTCGGCTGCGGCATCCAGGAGAACTTCTTCTCCTGTTCAGATATCAGTATTAAGAGTACACATGGCTACACATCGAACTTTAAATAACCAGTATAAACTGAACGTTAAATGTGCTGAAAGATGA